GGGATTGTGACCGGTAGAGTTCAATTCCTTCAAAACTATAAGTATTTCTTGATGAATGATGTTAAACATGGATTCTTGCATCATTGTCTTTAATTATCTCATAAAAGAATTATATACATCAACCAATGATAATCATATTTGACATGTATAATTTAGATTGTATTTTAACGAAATATGTTAACGTGAATAGAATTATAGAAGTACTACAAAAAGTTGAGTTAATTCATTGAGTACATTTTTATTTTAGCCTGTTTGTAGCGCTCTATAAAACTCTAGTCAGTTGGCTATTAGCAGTATATTACTGATATGTTTTCTTCATCAGTAACTTCTTTTCTGACAACTTATTTATTTATCTATTTAAATACATTAACATTGGTACAAGAAGGCACAAAATAGATATGCGCCACATAAATCATTAAGTTTGTGTGAGGGTTGGGATACTATCCGGGTGCCCAAACCGAAGCAGGTGGTTTTCTTAGGGTGTCACACCTGGAACCTTCGATCTACAGGTCTGATGCACAAGGCAACGGAACAACGTCAGGAGACACAATACCATGATAACCGGTGACAAATGATTGATTCATACACCATTTGTTTACTCAGGATCCTGGAGCACATGTGCACCATTGGTTTGGAATGAGAGTTTTCCAACTTCCATACGTGAATCCTCCACATTTACCAACCCGTGTAAATCTCCGGATATTCGCTTTTCCTTCTTTCAGTTTCGTAGACAACACCCCTGATGCGAGAAGGCAGTGAGTAGGAGTTCCTTGACAGTGACTGTATACGCCTGTCCATGTGAGAGCATTTCGAGTGCAGTGGGAATGCAGATTATCTTCAACCTCGATAGTAGCAGAGCATTTAGAGGTAATCTAATGTTCAGGAATGCACAGAATTATCCTAATACACTAATTATACACTTCTCCTCATATGTTTTGTAATTTACACAGGTTCTTCATGTATTACCGTATCTAATCATATAAAGATTTTTTCAATACAAAACATTCCTAGTAAATCACTGTTTATAATTATCCCTTATTTTGATCATTACAATAGTTATTTATATTCAATTCTCAATTCCAAAATATAATTTCATTAAAACATCCAATTTAACATTTGGATGATGGTTAATATTGTGAAAAGAAAATGAATAATAATATTTATCAAAGAATCATTATTTAAAATAATGTCAGAATGGGTTTTTGTGGAGATTTTAGAAATTTCACAAGTTGAAATCATGAGTCAGTTGAAGCCAGACCACCATTGAAAACCTGGAAGCACTGGACGGCCGTTTCGTCCTAGTATGGGACTCCTCAGCAGTGCGCATCCACGACCCCGCACCACCCGGGGCTCGAACCCAGGACCTACTGGCTTCGCGCGCGAGCACTTAACCATTAGACCACTGAGCCGGCATCCAACGGTGTTAATGTCTAACTTCAACCAATCCACGAAGTTGCGCTACCGTACACCATTGTCCTCAGTGAGTTCCTATCTCACAACAGACCTGGTTGAACTCCACTGGTAACGACTCATGATTTCAACTTGTGAAATTTCTAAAATCTCCACAAAAACCCATTCTGATAATAATAATCACCTGCTCACTAGTGACTGACTTCAGGAGACACTTCTGGAGTTCTAGTGAGAAGTCGTTACCAGTGGAGTTCAACCAGGTCTGTTGTGAGATAGGAACTCACTGAGGACAATGGTGTACGGTAGCGCAACTTCGTGGATTGGTTGAAGTTAGACATTAACACCGTTGGATGCCGGCTCAGTGGTCTAATGGTTAAGTGCTCGCGCGCGAAGCCAGTAGGTCCTGGGTTCGAGCCCCGGGTGGTGCGGGGTCGTGGATGCGCACTGCTGAGGAGTCCCATACTAGGACGAAACGGCCGTCCAGTGCTTCCAGGTTTTCAATGGTGGTCTAGCTTCAACTGACTCATGATTTCAACTTGTGTTAAAATAATGTGTTCATGAGTCAATCATAAACAACACCCCTGGTGCGAGAAGGCAGTGAGTAGGTGTTACCTGTCAGTGGTTGCATGCACGTGGCCATATGAAAGCATTTCGAGAGGTAGAACTGAATATCCCCACTCTCGACCGTACCAGGTCATTTAAGGGTTTTTTTAATTTTCATATCTTGAAACAATTAATAATGAAATTGAAATGCTCAACAATTAAGTATACCACTAAGTGTTTAGTAATACAGATTATTATTAGCAAATATCATTTAGGATGTGTAATTAGGTTTAGATATCAAGTAAACATATTCCATAATCAGCTACTTTCTATAAAAAAAGTTAGTGTGGTATGGGTTACTTATATCCATATAAGTAGTATATAATAGTGGTCAGGCATAGAATGTGTTTCAGCAGAAGATCGATAAGGAAAGAACGGAATCGGAACGCAATTGGTATGAAAATGTATAAACAATGAAACATGAGACAATGGACTGATATTTGCAAACGGAACAGTGAAGTTTGAGACAATGGGTTAATGCTTTACAAATTAACTATTTACACTATATGCTTCTTAGATTTTAGTGAGATGCTCTGTAATTTCGTGTTCTAATACATTCGATTGCCCCCATTCCTGTTATTGTTCACTAGATGTTTATATAGTATTTTTCATTCCAATATATAGCAATCTCGAATGAAACCTATATCTTTACTATTATCATCTATAAAATTAGCTTTAAGCAACTTCATCTTTTACTTTATATTATGTTCCTGATAAGTGTTTAATATTCTTAAATTGTTGAAATAAATCATACATTTTGTATTAATTAGTAAGTTGAGAGTATATAAAATGAAATTTATCTTCATGATATTATAAAGAGTTCTTATAAGTGGATCGTAGCGGTAAATAAATCCCCTAAATAAATATCCCTGTAAGTTTTCAACATTGGATGCTGACCACATGTTTTAATGGACTTACCTAGCTGAAGGCCCTCGGTCATGCATCCGCATGAATATGACGAGTGGGAACTTCATGCTCAATAACCCCTGCAATCGCTAGCCAGATTAGATCAGACGATCCTCGATATATTGATAACCTATCACATATATTTTCGAACCTCCTCGCATCTGTCTCTTGATTTCACTTGGTGGGTACACTACATAATAGAAGGTGTTACTGGTTAAAGCGTTGTCAAACTCCGAATACCTGTGGCATCTTCAGGATATTCTAATAGTCTAGTAATTTCTACTTTTACGTAAGTGAACTGAATGAATGAATGAATGGTACCTATTTGATGTCTTCAGTGAATTAAAAATGTCACAGTCTTTGTCAGAAATAATACAACTATCATCAGGTATCTTTTATCTTTTCTTATAGAATATTCATTCTCAATTCTTGCTTAAAAATACTTAGTAAGAGATCTAAAATAGACTCTAAAATAACATCAGATCGTTGTTTATAAATCATACTGTTAAAAATGAACTGAACATTTCAAGTACAACTGATAATTCGGTCATTCGATAAGAATGTTGATAAATCCATATTAGATCTATCCATAATAATGTAATCACAAATAAAGCTTACCGTTTCGGTATATGACATTTTAAGAAGTAAATAGATTACATATAAGAAAACCGTGAAACTTCCATAACTACATGTTAGATTAGTGAGGGTGGGGGATCGGGATAGAGCCAGTAATCCTAAGGTTTACTCCATTTGGGACTTTTTAGTGATGAAATATATGTGGTCTTCAGAAAACGGATATTCTACTTAAGATTCAAACTCCTATCACCAAATATTCCAGTCACAGATATCATCATTAAACTACGTAGTTAGTAAATTCAAAGAATCTCGTTGAAGTATAATTATATACTTAGGTTTTTATTAGTTCGATTAGATGATATATACAATTAGCAACTGAATGACAATAGAGACTGGTCTCGTTTATTAACATTTTAGAGATCATTTTTCGTGATGAATCAGTAAAGTATAAAACAGAAACTTATATTTTGCTCTATGTATTCGACTTTACACTCCACAGTATCGAATTTATCATTCAGTATTATTTATATTATTAAATCTAATCCATCACAGGTTCTACGCTTATCTATTCTTCATCCTTCAAAAGCATTACTATAGTTAACTTAAAGCCACATCTGTGTACATGAAAACATTTTGCAATCCAATGTATTCAGTTTTCCAAAGATCCTCTTATTTTCACTTCGACGCATATTTTTGTCTTTTTTTCACTTTATCTTATACTTCTAAATTATTTTCACTAGATTGTATGCAAAGGAAATTCATTCTATTAAGTAATTACTTACTTACCTACACCTGTTACTCCCAGTGGAGCATAGTCCACCGACCAGCATTCTTCAACTCACTCCGTCCTCGGCCTTCATTTCTAGTTCTATGCAATTGTTGTTCATTCTTCTCATGTCTGTCTCCATTTCTCGGCGTAATGTGTTCTTTGTTCTTCCTGTTCTCCTTTGACCTTGAGGATTCCAAGTGAGGGCTTGCCTTGTGACACAGTCGGGAGCTTTTATCAATATGTTTCCTCTATTAAGTAATCTCACCTATAAATTAAATTAATCTTATAAAACCGTCTAATCAATTAATATAATTGTTTAGTTATAAATGATTAATATTAAAAAAAATTTCTAGAGATTTTAGTAAAAGGTCCTCACATTTATACTTCATTAGTGTTTGGAGTGATTGAGTAATCACCAACATCCTTGGATATTAGTCCAAATATGTTGTTAATTAACTGAAGTGCAAAATGTAGACTATTAGATTATAGTTCAGTGATCCATAGTTAGTGCACCTATTAAGAGCCAAGAACATTATGAGCTCAAGTTTTTATGGGGTCAAGAACCATATATTTAACTGCAACATGCATCTATCCACCCATCCTCACCATCAATGTTCAATTATATTCTGTTTGATATAAATAATAATAGGAATTTTCAATTTATCAAATATACATCTTATTTATTTTGTTTTATTCAACAATAACATTATTGATTTTTAAATCGAATTTAATGCAGATGTGAAATACCATCCAATACTTATGTTGAATTTGTTCGTGTAATCTGGCCAGCTGGTGTGAATTCAATAATATCTCCTTCATCGTCATCATCATTATCATCACCAGTATCCTTATCATCAACAACTAATGGTGATACAAGTTCTTCCATAGAAGTTGAAGAATTTTTTGATACTCAAACTGGACCAACTAGTAGATCTTCTGAAAGAAATGACATAAGATCACATAATATGTGGGATGTGTTTCACAGAAGTGTAATCAGTTCAAAACGTAATGTAACTGAAATTGTTGCTCGTTTCAGAGAAGATTTAGTTACATCTAATCCATCTTCAAAATACAGGTAGATTCCTATTCATACAATAAGCACTTTTATGGTAAAACCAGTGTAATATTTAATGTAATTAGTTTTCTTACGTTATTATATCAAATCATTAAGGAACAATAAGTGCTTTGAAAGAAAGAATCATTTGTTTGATCTTCTTACATTTAATTTTAATTATTTTCTGTTTATTTCGGTAGTTTGATGAGATTAATTAAACCAGATAATAATTTTACTCACAAATTGATGTCCTCTGTAGAATAACTGGAAAACTAGTTGTTCTAACTAGTTATTTTATGTCCATACGAAAGTCTTCAACAATATCTACTAAAGATTCTACACTTTCATCAGACTCTACCTTCAAATTTCAAGGTGAAAGTTTCTAGTTTGATCTGTTACATTTTGACTCATTGATATAAGAATATTGTTCTCAATGTTGATGATTATGATCGATTGAATTTAGTCAAGAATGGTTATAAAAAGATAATAATATGAGGAAGAATCTAATCAAAAGTAGTATTTTATAGATGAGCATTTTGTTTCTAAATCATTTAATACATATGAGAAAATTAGGAAAAACTGAATAAAACTTTCATTTTGGTGGAGTTTTGTTCTCCAGCTCAGAGAACAAAACTCCACCAAAATCATCTACCTGAGCTACAAATCTTCTCTACCATCTCAAAACTTTCATTCATTTATGACATGAAATAGGGTAATTATGCTATGGAACAAGTAGACACTTATGAAAATTCATACCCATTAACACGATTATGACTTTATTCAATTATAATCAAAGTAGTATAATTACAGGATTTGATATTAATTAACTCAACTTATTTTATATGTAAACGTCTCGAATCGTGGATGAGCATTGCTGAAGCGTCCCACAATGGGACGAAACGGCTGTCCAGTGCTTCCAGGTTTCCAAAGGTGGTCTAACATCAATCGGTTGATGATCTCAATCGAAAACTCAATGGAAATTGTTGGTAGATCAGGTAAAGATGATCTATTTAATTCGAATAGTTTTTAACTTATTCAACGAATAAGTTGTTTGGCGAGACTAATTTATGAATGAACCAATCTGGTATAAGATAAAAGGTCTCGGATTTTGGCGCGAAATCCACTCATTCATTTGATTAAATAGAGTTTTGGGATTATAGCTGATGTCAGTTCGTGATGAAAACCCCAAATTTAATTTTTAAGCCTAAGCATCAACTGTAAGTTATAATTATAATTCCTTACACAGGTTCATAACCCTCATTTGGTCCTGTTTATTAAGCGGACACTCAAGGTCAGTCTAACGTCGCTCAAAGGTCGTTCATAAATTATAGCCTCACTGGTTGTTCATTTCACTATGATTATATTGCATATTAGGAATTAATACATTTGTAGCATATTTTGCATTTTTTCACCAATTCTCTGTATACTACTGTAGATTTTTACTAATCTCTGTTTTAATTTCTCTTACATTTTAGTTCAGCAACTGAAGTGTATAAATTACAATTTCGTGTTAACAAACCTCAGTCTAATTCACCTGGACGTGTTGCACCAAGAATATTTTGGAGTTTAGTTAGTTTAAGTCGACGAAATTCCCCAGATCATTCGATTAGTGCAAGTCCAGTTGTGACAAGATTGAATATTGAGCCGTCTGAATTCAAACACATAACAATGGTGTTAAAAGTAAGATATCTTATCTTAAAACATGACATTTTTGTTTGAGACGATTTTATTCATCACTTTAATCAAATTTAATTGTCATCCAATTTTTGTTACAGTAGATAAAGTATGAGAATTGTTCATTTTAATGTTTGCCTTAATCAAGGATGGATACAACACATCAAATAATTGAAATGGGAGAATCATAGAACAGTCGCTTTGTTCTAGTTTGAAATATATCATTTACGTGTACGAACAAACTGAACGGTAAACAAGCCCTTGAATTTCATATTCTTCGGTCAGTAATCAATTGGTGTTCTATGATCTACATTTCATACTTCAGCCAACTGACTATACATAGTCACCATAATAAACCATTGGTATCTGTCTTAGTATTAAATCTCTTAAACTCTATAGTTTACGACGTAATGAGCGCTGACTACTAATGAGTTTCAAACTAAGGAAAATCTAGTTTTTAAATGTTTCCTCCGGTTTATAGTAGTTCCACAAGTATTGTCACTAAATAATTAAAATCAACATTTACCCTTTTCATTTTGATTATATATAGACCACGTTGAATGAAACGTTTAAGGTTGAATCTGAATGTTATTCACTAATTTCACGGCATTACAATTTATATCAATATACCAATCGAGGAAGTTAGGAAGATAAAAACAAATCATCAGCATAATGTTATGGATATTGTTGAGTTTTAATTAAGATCATAAACCGATCAATGGTAGACCACTATTGAAAATTTGAAAGCGCTGAACAATCGTTTCGCCCTAGTGTGGGTCCTTAGTTCGAGTTCCGCGTGCGAGATTATGGATGCTCACTGCTGGTGGTCTAACATAGATTGGTTTATAATCACAATAAAAACCAAATCAGTCATAATTTTAATATCAATTTGAAATCATCAAGTAAATTGCATGAAATAATAATACAATACTCATTATTTACAGCAAGACAAGTTGGATGAATTTTTGATAATCTAATGAATTTTCTATCTTTAGGTATAAATTAACATAGTATGGTAATTATAAACTAGGATATTTGAGTCTTCTGATATGATTCATATTAGCAGTTATTCACTTCATCATTATATTAAGGCTTAATCTCATCCTCCTCAAATATTTAACATACTATTCTTGTATAAAAGAAATATATTAAAGTCTTATTCACTTTCTATACTGTTGTAGTCATATATCTATTTTCCTGTTCATTTCTTTCCTTCTCATATACTCTCTGGTTCCATTTTTGTTTTTTTTGCTTTTCTGTATGTACTTTATTCATTTGAATAAAATGGTACCTATTTCTATTTACTTTCTATTTATATCAATTCATACATAAAATGAATACAGTCATAGATACAAAAATTACCACCACCTCCACCCCCCCTCGCTCTAGTGTATATTTATATATACTAACAGTTGTCTTTTTATTATTAGTCGTTTATTGTGTATACATGTTAAGTCACTTATATAACTTGTTACTTTATTTTTCATTATTAAATACATTTTATATTTAATATTAGACACAAGTACATGTATCAGTTTAGTTATAAATAATTGAAGTATACCAATATCTTTTCTTTTTTGATGTTCAATAATAAGACAATTTGATGAATGAAGATAATAACATACATATTGATATTTATTTACACAAAATATTCATTCGTTTTATATTAATATGTACCTGTTCTGTTTAAATATTACATACATATACCACTTGACCTAAATTTCGGTTACTTTAATTCATTGTAACCAGCATGAATAAAATGGTTGTATGTTTTTTTGTTTTGTTTTCATGAATAGTCAAATAATTTATAGAAGCGGAATAACAATAAATGGTACAGGTAAATTTGATTAATATTAAACCCACACTACTTATGTGAATACATGACAGCGTATCGTGTGTTTTTTCCCCCCTTCTTTCTGAATAACTAAATAACATTGTTCATATTTAATACTATGCACAATCTATAATATTCGTTTTTGTGCTATTTTATTTGTATTTTAAGTATATAGGATGAAAGGCTTAAAGATATGTGTTTATTTTCGGTAGGATAACCTTGACCTTTTAATGAATAATAAACAAATGAATAAATGATTTTCTTCAATTGAAACTATGTGTATAAATGTAAACATGAATTAATGAATGATCTTTCATAGTTATTCGGTTTAAAAAAAAAAGAGGAAAGAAACTGTTTTCAGTTTAATATTCCTTAAAGTTGATTGAATTCTTTCAATTTACTTTTTGATTGAGATCATGAACCGATTAATGGTAGACCACCATGGAAATCTTGAAAGCACTGGACAGCCATTCCGTCCTATTGTGGGACTCTTTAACTGTGCGCATTCACGATTCCGATCTCGGGGTTTGAACACAGAGCCTTCAGTCTCGTGCACTAACGCTTAACCTACTTGATCATTGAGCTGGTCGGCATCCAAAGGAGTTAATGTCTAACCTCAACCAATCCACAAAATTGCGCGACCATCTTTCATTGTACTGAGGTAGACACCTGTTTCTACCCGACACGGATCAGCTCCACTGGTCACGGCTTCTCACCAGGGATCCGAGAATTCCCTCACGAAGCTAGTCACTAGTGAGCACATGGTATTTATCAGTATAGATTTCAATTTAGTACACAATGAAACATTAACGTTAAGTGACTCGATATTCAGTTGAAATTCGAACTGATATAATACATATCAGAAGGGTTTTTGTGGATATTATCATAGTAGTTTCAATGATTGAGTCATAGGTCTTGGGGTTCGAATCTCGCGAGGAGTCCCTTAATAGGATCGAACAGCTGTCCAGTGCTTCCAAGCTTTCCATGGTGGTCTAGCTTCAATTGGTTCATGATCTCAACCATTGAAATTGATATAATACATTTGAAAGCATATTGCAGATAACATTGTTTGACTTACAGTATGTTTTATGATCAAATCGTTCAGTGTTTACATCAAGGACCATGACAACAGATGACACTGGTTCGAATGTGAGTAGTCGGGAAAATACACTTTGTTGGTGAGTCAAAATTAACACGAAACTTTTGTCTAGATAGTCCTGTTGGTTACCTGTAGCAATCTAAAACAATTACCATTATTTTTAAATAACGACATAGTTGTTGGTTAACCATATATTTTTTCATACTGTCTTTATTAGAACTCTAAAAAAGTAATTTAACCAAACCGACCTCATGTTTCTTAGTTTACATCACCACTAAAAATCAGGAAGGACTGGGAGGCTGTTAAGTTCCTGAATGGGACACTTCAGCCTTCAAGTCATGTATTGAGCGCACTACTTTTTTACGCAGCTGAAATGAACAGCCCTCATATCCAACATAATTCACCGCGATTAGTTTTTATTTAGGCTGAAACAACTGTTTATAGCACTTAGGGACTTTCTGATTTTCTAGCTGATGTCATTCAGTGACAGAAAGTAATCTACTTAACCTAACCAACTAAACATATTTTATAAAGCTCAATGAAGATTGATTTCATTTCCATATTAGCAATACTTATTAACTTTAGCCCGTTCAATAAACAATTTTTAAATGTTCATTTCCAATTCTACAGTACAAACCCCCTTTGGAAAGCATGATATATAAAGAAGTGAATATTTGAAAATACCTTAACAGAACAAAGAAGTAGGGAATAAAAATGATGCATGTTTTTGAAATCGATTTATAGGATTAACTAACAAAGAATATCATTAAGCTGAATAGTTGAAAAATATCGATAGAAACCCTGACTGAGTTTTTTTCTTTGTAGGGAATCATCAACCTAGAAATAGGATGGTTAAAGCAAAGTCAAGCAAATCCTGAACAATTTTTTTACTGAGAATATTGTTTGTACAATTGTTTATTTTATAGGAATGAAACTATAGATAGCTAAATTTTTCTATATTTAACATACCTTCTGAACACCACAAATAGAATCAAACCTCATTCGAGCAAATATAATCAGCCATCCTACAGAGAATCTCGATTCTTGATGAAAGCTAATGCCAAAGACCAAGTGATATGATATCTATTTATGATTTTTATAAAAATAAATATCCTAGACTTTTAATTGTTTTGTTCGACAGTAATCAATAGTACTGTTGTTATGAGCTTAAATTTTAGTATATGTTTGTTTAATTAATCAGTGAGTACGATTTTATCAATACATTTCTTTAATTCGAGTAAACAATTCACCCATGGACAATAAACCATGGTATTGAGACTAGTTGCACACTCTGATTGACAGCAATTTACCTTGAAAAATGACTGAGATAATTCTTAAAGCCTAATAGCACAGAGTGTTCCCCTTCTTCTACAGCCCAATATTCCAGTCTGAAGTGAGAAAAAAGCAAATAGACACTCAACCATCTACTCGCTATATACAATGATTTGTCATAAAATAATTCCTAATATTCATTCACTTATCATAACAATGAACCCAATGCTCAATTTATTCGAAATTATCAAATCAAACCTTGGTAATGACACCTATAACCGGTATATGTTCATTGATTTCACAAATCCTATACACTATACATAGATATTTCTTTTTACCAATAAAATAATGATAACTTACATTGTTCTTTAATGGTAACAGTATTTACTAGAACAAGATGTCTGTAAAAGTGATTAATTCATTTTTGAAAAAGGGCAATACTTACTCAATACTTCCACTGACTTACATGAATTACTCATAAATTTGTTAGTAATTATTTCTTTTTAATGTTTCAATCCAATCAACAATATCATTTAAAATGATATATTATCTTATAAAGTATACTCATCTATTTCCTCATGACCTTGTTGATTTAAATAACCTGACTAAATAACTCGATTTCAGATTAGTTATCTAAAAGAACTGTACTAACTATTAATGATCAAGGGTTATTTATTTATTTAAACATAGATATTGATAGAAGGAGGCAACAAATATATATGAGCCACATAAATCATTAAGTTTGTGTGAGGACTGGGATACAACCCAGGTGCCCAAATCGAAGTAGGTGGTTTTCTTGGG